TCTTTGTCAGCCACAGTCTCCAAGTATCTAAAAACATAAAATGTTGAGTCTTCACCAAAATCCTTAACAAGCTGATATTTATACAGGGTACATTTTTCTATAATCTATGGGATGAGGCCCTCTTTGTTTTAAAGTAGAAACACTGTTATTTCTAAGGCCTATTGCCTGTGTAGCTCTGTGACATATATCAATGCCACATAAGTAAAAGAATAGAGGGATTTATTGAACAACTGCTGTCACTTAGCATAGGGATACACAGTATCAGTGGCGTAACAACCGGGGGGGCAGCAGGGGCGCGGGCCCCGGGCGTGCAGAGTATAACAGCTATTGTACTATAATCTCTAAGATAGGAATGTCCTATACTCTAAATGTAATGGCCTTTCTTTCCATATATGAGACTCCATGCCTCATAATTACATTACTTTATAATAGCTCCTTCTTATTTCAGGTTTTTACTTAGAAATGCACCTCATATGAATTCTATACACTGCAGTGACGTGTAGTTAAAATGTGCTCTTACTACATATGAAAATAATGATCCTGTCATAAATAAAATAAAAATCTGTCACTTTCAGAAGCCAACTGAAAAAAAAAGGTCACTCAAGGTCGAATCGCCTTCCGGTGAAACCAAAAGACTATGGACTTATTCTGTTTGACGGTAAAATCAGACAGAAATCTTAATGCATCTGGCTTCCTGCTGGTCTGATCAAAACAAAATACTGGGCTTTGAGATCTTTGAAAAGTCCTTGATTTCAGTGGCAAACTTCTCAGGTTGTCAGTTTAGGCTTCCTTTCATGAAATACAACCTGATGGTACAGCAGAAAGTATCCTTAGCTCCTTAACCCCACAGATTGTCCTTGGATTGCTAAAAAATATAAATATGTAAATGAAAACTTGAGCAGGAGTCAATGACCTCCCAACTTTTTGAGATGAGATAAATGGGCTGAAAATCTCGGCTTATACTCGAGTATATACGGTAGTACAAAAATGATACCCAGTCTCACACTACAGACGCAAATATGCTTGGTTTTAATAATGCACAGAAAAGGCAAATGGCCCATCAACACTTTATACATTAGATCAGTGTTTCTCAAACTTTTTTTCACTCATGACACCCTTTAAAACTATGTCAAATCTTGAGACACCCCAGTCTAAAAAATAAAAAAAGATGGGTGTATAGTATGGATTCTAAGGGAGGACCCTATGTAAAAACAACATTGTGGGGTTCTCCCATTTACATAAGGACCCCCCTTTTGCACATTAGGAGTCCCCTTCACATCAGATGCTCTCTTCATTTACATCAGAGTCCCCTTCTTTCATAACAGAGTCCCCCTCTTTTACATCAGAAGCCCCCCCCCCCCCCCTCTTCACTTCAGGAGCCCCTCTTTTACATCAGAGCCCCCTTCACATTAGACGCTCCCTTCACATCAGAGCCCCCTTCTTTCACATCATAGTGCCCTCCTTTCACATTAGAAGTGCCCCTTTAAATCAGGAGCCCCTCTTTCACAACAGAAGCTCCCTTCACTTTTGGAGCACCCCTTTCAGATCAAGAGCCCTCTTCACATCAGGAGCCCCTCTTTCCTCTTTGGAAGATCCCCCTTCACATGAGAAAAATTAAAAGGTACCCTTTAGGGAGCAAGAAGGAAACCCAGGGGGGCATGTTACCCTGGTTGAGGAAGGCTGCATTAGATACATTTTAATGTATTTACAGACATTACAAAAGTTTACATTAAAAATGCATAACCAAATGCATAAATGCCTATGAACACCAAAATCTGTTATGTTGCTGGATAAGTCATTGAAAATGATACCACTGTAAGATAAAGGCAGCACAAGCATTTAAGGACTGGAATCCAATATAAAGATAAAAATCACAGAAATGCTGGCAGTTAAATGGTAAATCTATTAATAAAAAAGTACACAACAGAGATCAGACCTAAATAAACTCCAACCTATGGAAATTAGGTCCTGATCAGGTCCGGATCTGCAGACGCGGTGCTACTGATGCAGTGCGTTTTGGCCGCGTTTTTAATGCGTTCCAGTAAAAAAGAAAAAAAATGTTTTTGTTTTTTTTTTTGCTGGAGTGGGGCTGTTAGTATGCTAGATGTAAGCAGTGCAGTGCATTTTTGACGCGTTTGCATTTCCTGACCGTACAAAATGTGACATGCAGTATTTTTCTGCCGTAACCTGAACGGACTGCGCACGTGAGAACTGTAGCCCATAAAACACATAGGGATACATTGGGATGCATTTTGAGTGCAGGAGCGTACGGATCAGGTCAGCACACAAAACGGACGTCGTGTGAACAGGCACTTAATGCTGCAGAGAGTGATGTCACATAAATACATGGCACCACTCTCTGCAGCATTCTCCGATGAGTCAAGGGCAGGGGCAGAGCCTTAATGCCTTTGGCTCACACAAAACAGATTTGATTTATGTTTGATTCATTTATTACAGTTATTTATGTAGAGCCGAAAATTTCCACAATGTTTTACATACTGCACATTCCCAGCAATCCCTGTCCTCAAGGAGCTTACAACCTAAGGTCTCTACTGCATACAGGGCCAATTTAGACAGGAGCCAATTAACCTTCCAGCATCTCTTTGAGCGCTGAAGAGGAGGCAAGCATAGCAGCCAGCGCGGTTTTTTTATTTTTATGGGCTGCTGGGGGATCCATTTAAGCATTTTTGCCCTAGCTGGAATTAAACTTTAAAAACCTCCCCCCATCTTTTTTCAGCACGGAGTTGTATTTGCCTGTAAAAATTATAAAGCCATTTTCGGGTGATTATCAATGTGCCTTCCTGTGTATGTTCATGTTTTTAGTGAGTGCTGGCAGTAAACTGCCTACTCGCAGCTCTTCACCTTTCACCCGAGTATTTTTTTGAAACGCTCATCTTTGTTTCATCTGTGTTCAAAGTGGTCCTTGCTTCTCTGCAGGTGCTCACTTTTAACTAGAGGACTTTGCTCCAGCTTTGTGTTGAGCTGAGCACAACAGGTAGCTTTAACAAGCATGCACTATAGTAGGCGACTAAACTGCTATTAGAAATGAAATTTTTACTGCAGTTTAATACCAAAATTACTGATTTAATGTATGAAATAATAAGGGAATCAAGTGCGTAGGAAGCAAACAAATAACGTACTGCAACATTTATTAATGGGACCTGGCTGCTAAGTCTCTACCCACGTACCTGATTTGTAATAAAATCTACGACAAAGCCTGTAGGAGTAGAGCCAGATTTCTCATTTACACAATGTAAAAAACAAATATCAGTTGCATTTATGTTGGTTCTATAATATTACTGCAACAAAATGATTTCTAATTAGGATGACATGAAAGTTTCTGTTTCAGTGCTGTGAAAAGATTTTGGTCATCCTCAGCAGGCTGTTATAAACTATTGTGGTTAAAAATGGTTATTATAAGCCTTGAAGGTGAGCTGGCACAGTTTGCCCAACAGTAGTCTGTCATCAGTCCACAAAGCTTTAAAGAGACCTTGTCACCAGACCATTCATTTGAAAAACCATAAAAAACCCATTCCATAAGTGTATATACATGTCACATATTTAAAGCATGTTATTTACCTGTAAAAGCCTCCCTTGTGTAGACATCGTAATCAAGTTTTACTTTTAGGCCTCATTCACAGAGGAACTCCTGCAGTAAGAACCTACAGATTCCTGCGGCAGGAACCCCAGGTGTCCTTGTTCAGATGCGGCTGCATCTCTAAGTGGCAGTCTGCATGTAATCGTACATGGTACAGTCACATGTAATTTAGGATCGATGATTGTCCCTGTAGGCAGGATAGATGCGTTCAGTAACAATCATCTATCCCAAACAAATCAAATAACACTTTTCTGACTTCAGGAGGAGTGGAATCAAATAACACTTTTGTGACTTTCAGAGGGGGTTGAATCATATAACCCATTACTGACTTCAGAGGGGGTGGGATCAAAAAAACACTTTTGTGACTTTCAGAGGGGGTTGAATCATATAACCCATTACTGACTTCAGAGGGGGTGGGATCAAATAACACTTTTCTGCCTGAAGAGGGGGTGGGATCAAATAACACTTTTCTGCCTGAAGAGGGGGTGGGATCAAATCAAACTTTTCTGACTTCAGAGAGGGTGGGATCAAATCAAACTTTTCTGACTTCAGAGGGGGTGGGATCAAATCACACTGAATCCATTATGTCTTAAAAAGAGGTGTGGAATCAGCATAGAGTATGGGAAGTCGAGAACTGGACACTAAGGGAAATGAGTGCTTTATTTACATTCTAATTGTTTTTTCTTTTTTTAGGAACAAAAGCTTTGAGCAATTTTTACTAATGCATAGTGAAATTATACTGTATAAATGCAACTAGGGCAGATGGCAAGAAAATCGTTCGTGTACCAAATTGCTGGAATTCGCAAAGCAATAAAGGTCACTTAACACTGCATTCAACATTTACAGAGTATGTGAATATCTCTGCATAGTTTAGAATTGACAGAATATTTAAAAACATTACAGGCCAAGGAGCCATTACCCTTCCATTCCATTTAGCAACCATCTTCTGACAGCTGGGGACTTGCTGGTAATCAGCTTTCATTAGTCCACCATAGCTGAGGTCTGATGAGTCAGTGCTTCTTTGTCCTTGAAATCAGATCTAATTATATTAAACTGAAACCTGATTGGTTGCTAGGGATTACTGCCCATCATTATTGCTCTTTGTATTGACTTTTTGAAGTTTGATTTAATAACTATTAGTTCCATACACAAGGACATGCTTGTTTGTTAAAAGCTGATCAGACATTCGTAGAACCTTCATAAATGATCTCTTTTAAAGCCTTTGTTATTGATATGTATGGGCATTTCATCAAATGGTTAAATGCTGGAGATTTTGCTTTGTACCTAGTCCGTGCAACCATTCATCTGATTATCATGTACTTATTTGATCTTTGCTGTTACATCAAATATTTCACACCTTCCTACAGATACCTTAATAGTCTGAATTCTTGTACAATCTTACCTGGTATGCAAAGACATTTGTAACTTGTCCCAATGCTGCGGCAGATCCCATGAGCACAGGGGCTCAGGGCACAAAAGTCCACTAGTTGAGCGCAGGTAGCACCTGTGAATCCTGGGCTACAGCGACAGGAGAATGACAAGCCGGTGGAAAAACAGCTCCCGTTATTGAGGCAGGGGGATGTAGAACATGGATCTACTTTATCCTCACAGAAGGAACCCATAAAGCCTGGGAATGATACAATATACACCAGAGAGTCAATGCTTTCACAATGCACACACTCAGTAAAGCTGTATTCTGTTCATGTGTTTTACAATAGAGACAGCTAAAGCCCAAATGTACCTTAGAAAAAGTGACAGCAATCAAGCCAGGATGAAGAGTAAGTGTTTATAGCCTCATTGTTTTTAATTATGTAATGCTGCCCCAGCAGAAAAATCGTATCCTGGAAAGGAAGTTGTAGCTCAGGACCACAGTTCTCTGTGTAAGAGTAGAGGCCTCTTTAGGGAAGCCTGACTTGCTCTCCTTCCCGTCTTGTCATCACTACAGAGCTATAATCAGCAATGCTGACAAAGGAGAGCAAGCATTTCTGGCTAGCACAGCAGTAATGACAAGGCAGGGGAAGAAGAGGGCATATTGGACCACCACACATAGACCACTGCTCTCACACATAGAGCCATGATCTTTAGCTGCAGCATCCAGCCCTGCATAGGACTTTTCTGCTGTGGCTGGGTGAACATTAAGAAAATTAAAAACAATTAGATAATTAACATTTACATTGATCCATCCTGACTTGATTGCTGCCACCATTGGGAAGGAACAATTGAGCTTTAAATTCCTTATTTGATATTCATGCTGTTAATAGGACTAAGACCTAATCCTGTGTTGCAGAGCACAGGATATCACTGGGGGAAATTTACAATGCTATGCAACTATAATGACAAGTGTGATTTTATTACCTGCCTTTTGTTCTTGGTTGAAAAATAATGCTATATTAAATTCTGTAGTAGGAAATAAAGCCTGACTCAGATGATATCTTGCTTCAGCGGGTTCTTGGCAACACAGTAGCTCTTCCACACAATACAGTTGTCAGCAGTGAACCCTTTACCTGTCGCTTTCATTAGATTCCAGTTGCTGTAAAAGGGCCTCCAGCATTTCATGCAGGTACAGCTGCAGCCCTACTTTAGAAAAATGTACCACCAAGTACACATAGCTTGACATTATATTAGTTTTCTCGGGATTCCTTTGGCATCTAGCCAAAGAAACAGTATTGGGTGGAGATCTTTGCAGGAGATGCCTGTTATATTGTCTTTGCACATGGTCCATCCACAGAATGTAGCTTGTCTCTGGTCTGGCACAGCTTTTGATAAACATCTGAAGCAAAGCCATCTGAAGCAAAGCCTCATTACCATAATTTGATGTTACCATTTTGGAAGAAAGTGCTGAAGCTCCTATGCAAGATCACAGGAGGAACATTTCCAATTCCTTGCTAATTCCTCCCATTTCAAAATAAAGCCCAGTGCAGGATACAAACTGCTGTTATACAGGTGAAACTCAAAAAATTAGAATATCGTGCAAAAGTTAATTTATTTCACTAATGCAACTTAAAAGGTGAAACTAATATATGAGATAGACTCATTACATGCAAAGCAAGATAGTTCAAGCCGTGATTTGTCATAATTGTGATGATTATGGCTTACAACTCATGAAAACCCAGATCCACAATCTCAGAAATTTTTTGGCAGTGTGGGCAGGTGCCAAGTCCTGCTGGAAAATGAAGTCAGCATCCCCATAGAGCTCGTCTGCGGAAGGAAGCATGAAGTGCTCCAAAATCTCCTGGTAGACGGCTAAGTTGCGTTAGTGAAATAAATGAACTTTTGCACGATATTCTAATTTTCCGAGTTTCACCTGTATAAGTGTACCCCAGAACTTCTACAAACTGCAAGCTGACATAAAGTACTCTTACAGATCATGGGGACATTAAAAGAGAACCTCAGCTCCTTATTATGTGCATGCGTTCCGCAGCCCCATTAATTTCTAAGGGTGATCATACTGTTAGCTGGCTCCAGCGGTTGCTCAGAGCACGGCTTTTTCTATACGAATAATCGGTCCTTGGTGCACATGTACAGAATGAAAATGAGTCAGCAGGGTCCAGATCTGCAGTAAGATTAGTGGATCTGCTCTGAAGGTAAGTATAAGTCCAGGCTGTCTGGACTCAGGAGGGTGGGGGGGCTTTTTTTAAAGGACAAAGGCGAAGTTATCCTTTAAAGTAGGGATGTTCGGATACAAAGTACCGTATTTGTTACCAGTACAGATACTTTTCCAGCTCCAAGACTAGACTATAGAAAAATTCAAAAGTTAGGAGGCAGCTGTCATTAGTAAGGATCATACGGAGCTCCTGGGATTTGTGCTTCCCGGTGTTAATGTATGATTTTTATTTTTTTTTTAATAAATATATCTTAGGGATGCACCAATACCATTTTTACAAGTACAAATACTGATACTTGTCCAAGTACTGACACATTTTTATTTATTGTCATGTGACAGCTTTTCTAAAACAATACAGACTAATGATTTCAGGACAGTGGTGGAGCGCCAGAGCCAGGTCCCAGCTGCAACCGCTGCAACCCTGGTAGTTCTCATGAAAATGCCAAGTATCGGTACTGGTATCTGAACATCCCTACTTTAAAGTATATCGTAAGCCAATAAGGAACGGAATAGGGAAGAGGTAACACACCCTTAGGCATTTTCTTGTTAACTGGCTCCCATTAGGGAGTTTTTCCCTTTTATTTCCTGTCCCACAGACACAGCAGAAAGTGAGTGGAATCACTCCAAAGTTAGCGGAATCCTATCTTAGATAGTAGCATTATTATTATTATACAGGATTTATATAGTTTGTAGTAACGACAATTACTACAGTTTGTAGTAACGACAATAGGTATTCCCATTCGAACACTTGCCCCCTACTTCTACTCTGGTGACAACTTAAGAATTTGGATTTTCCCTCACTCTCTGTCACAGTGACAATGGTCACCAAGACAAATAGAGGGGTGAATCTCTTCATCAGAGACACATAAGCAGTAAAAACCTGGTTTTCTAGCCCTTCCACAAAAATGTTTTGGCATTTAGGCTCATTAAAAGGCAGAATGAAGGTTAGCTCACCACCTGCATGCAAAAAGCTTCCCATCAGAGTGATGGGTCATAGTAAATCACATGAGTTGGGCCAATTACCACTAGCTAAAAGAGCTACCAATGCAAGGCAACAAGGAAAAAAAAAAAAAAACAGACCTGTAGTATATTGTTAATGCAGCACATTTGTGTTGTAGTGTGCTGCAGCTTGGGTCTGTTGGCACCTACACCACTTGTCTGTTGGGATACCATTTAATTGTGGTAAGTCACAGTTTACTATATGCTACTGCAACACATAGGTTTGACTGTCCTAAAAAACAACAGCAATTTTACATTTTTTTTAACAGAGCTATTTTATTAAGCTTTTATAAAACAATAACATTACAGCAAAAGGCACTATACATCCAACAGTTCATGGAAGCAAAGACAAAGGAGAGCTACATAGACCCATAGGGATATGCTGACATTACAAGTAAGCAAGAGAACAATCAGCAAGCAGCAAAAATACAACAGAGTATACAGCAGGAGAGGGGAGTAGTGAGTTCAGGGAGAGGGGAAGTAATGTAACCTTTTAAAGTGTCCATAGATGTACAGAGAATGCTGTCATGTATGGGCAGCTGCTAACGTGCCTGTCTGATATCTATCTTAGATGATGTTGGGTTGGGATGGAAAATGCAAGAGATGTTTTAGCGCAAATTTGTGGCACTTGAACAACAGTTTTTATTATCCCACGCGTGGTACAGGTGCTTAGCACATCCCTCAACCACTTATATATTTCAGATTTGCCTATTGCCAAGTGTGGCCAGATTAGCTGGAAATAGGGAAGTCTTGGGCTGTCCATTTAGTATCATAGGAATTTAATAGACAAGGAGGAGAATTTATCAAAATTGGAGCAGACAAATTCTGGAGCAGCTGTGCACTGCAACCAATTAGCTTCTATCTTCCATTTTCAAATCTTAAAGCTGACCTTTACCCATATCTTTAGAATGACAATCAAGACACCTTTTGAAATGTTTAGTAATGTCAATCTTCAAACACATACTTCTAGATAGTTGCAGGCTTTTTATTATTTATATTTATTATTCTTTGCATAGCTTATTTTTCTTTTCTTCCCCAGTCTTCTGACAGTGGCCATGTTTACTAAGGACAGATTACTAGCTCCCCATTCACTTCCTGGATTTTTGGCACATGTGACTAGACATGTGACTAGGACATGCGACCATTCACATCATCTCAGGGAAGGAAAATGCCTTTCCCTGAGATCTCGTGAGATTATAGATGAGATTTCCCAGCAATGCTCTGCTGATGACAAGGCAATCCCAGTGTGCATTGCTTTGGCAAACTGAAGTAATTTTGCTTTTTCAAAGCAGGAAGTGAATGCTCTGCAAGTGGAAGTATTTCATAATAAACAGCATTTTACACCTGACATGTCTATGTTATTATTAATCATCATACAGAGGTATGAATTTGATTTTTGAGTGTAAAGGTCCGCTTTAACTGGACAAACTGAAGAGAGTAGCTGATTGGTTGTCATGGGCAACTGCTGCAGATTTTGTCTGCTCCAGTTTTGATAAATTGCCTTCATTGTGTATTACACGTGAATACATGTTAATTTTGCCCAATAGCTATTTAATGAATATGGTATGGCTGCTCTTGCAAGACATAAGTTACCATTGTTCCAGCATCTACATACTGTGTTACTATCATGCAACTAAACACAGAAGGTGTCTCTGTAAAGAGGAACTTACCTTCAGGACACTGGCAGCTGAAGCCGCTGGGGCTGGTGATACATGTAGCTCCATTCCTGCATGGCTGAGGAGAGCAGTGATCCACCATGGACTCGCAGAATTCACCAGTGTAGCCTGACCAGAGAACAGAGACATGATGAATACCAATATATCCCATAACATTGTATAATTTCAATCAGAGTTGTTAGTAATGGCTGCCATAAAGTTCACACAGCACACATACCAGGCAAGCAAGAACAGGTAGCATTTTTCGCATCATGCCTCTGCAGGAGGTCACTGCATGTGGCATTATTCATACAGGGGTGACTGTGGCAGGCATCAAACTCCTCACAGTAGGTGCCAATGTAACCTTCTTCACAATGGCAGGAATATGTCTCCTTTGAGGGAGGGAGAAAGAAAAAATAAATATGAGGTATAAAAACAAAGGGACTGGAAAAAGGCAGAAGAGGGAAAGCAAAAAATAAAGCACAGCACCAATATTACATAAATAAGCCAATAGATGGTGGAAGTTAGCAGCTCTTTCTTAGCAACCAGTAATGATCATGAGATATGAACATATCAATCCTCCTTTAGAGATCAGCAGTGCCAAATTACTTTAAGAAAGAATGGGGTCTCTGTGAACCTGTAGTAAGGCTATGGCCATTTAAGTATTTACCTATTCTTAACAAGCAGTGCATGAGCTTTAATAGCAACCCCCACTGACCTCTGTAGTTGCTGGCATAATGAAGTAATTGATTCTCAAAATTCACAGCACGACATTGAGAAGACATGGAAATATGCACAGAAATTAATCCTCAAAGATCACAGCAGAAGCAATGAAGTCCTTTAAGTCATTCTCCCAGAAGCTCAGGGCAACAAAAAACAGACAAGCACCATTTTTTCTGAGCTAGAGCACCACAGCACACAGTAGTACATTACAGTGTGTTGTAGTGCATTGCAACACATATGCAATGGATTTGTGTTGTCTAATGCACTGGGGTGCCTTGGAAAATGAGTGCAGCTGCATCACACTAATGTGTGTATAGTGCATAGCAGTAGCGTGCACACTGCAAATGATAAGTATGACTGGGCCCTAAGAGATTAGGAGGCAGAAAGGCTGTCAATTTGCTGCTGGAAGGGGGGGGGGGGGGGGGGGCATGCTAAGCAGAGTTTCCCAGGGAAGGACTTAATAGACTTTACTACCTCTGCTGGGAATTTTGAATTGCTTAGCATGCCTCCATGTCATTTCAGAGCCCTTGCATCTCCTCCTGCATCCCACAATGCAATGAGTTTGCCTGTGGGAATAAAGGAGGGTTTGAGATTTACATTAGTCAAGAGGTCTGCCAGAGCTTACAGTTGGAGTATTAGTGTGAATATGAATGCTGATTGTACGTGAGAACAAGGGCCCCAGAGACGCACATTAACAACTTTGAGATACAGGTATATACAGCCATAACATAGTGCCTTCTGTTATTGCTACACTCCAGTCAAATGTGAACAATTTGCATTAAAACTACGAGCAGGGTACAGCTCTCTGCATACTTTTGGGAAAAGCAGTCATCCAAAAGCACGAGTTGGGGGGGATGCACCATGCTTTCGTATGACTATGTGCATATATTGTTATATTGTAGAGCATCTTTTTGTATTTGCTAATTGTTGCCCATGATGATGATTCAAATAAGCGGGCAAACTAAACAAAAAAATAATTAGTTGGCACTGAAGTCTCGCTGCAGCTCCTTTTGGAAGATTATTATGTAAACTCTGGCTTCCCCGGCATCTCTGCCTGCTCTGTGAATCTTGTGGCCATTAGACCTTTCACAAAGGATGGGATGCAGGGGAGACCAGGCTTCATATAGTGTATGACTCAGACTATAAATAGAGAGAAGGTATAGCCATAGAGGCATGTTGGATTTTTAACTTATTTATATCTTGGTGACCCTTTAGAAGCATCATGACCCCAAAACAGTGTTTTCACAAAGAGAGGGTTGTTGTTTCTCTGCAACTGCATTGAGATTAGATAGATATAGTACCCTTTATAGTTAATATTTAAAGAAGCCGGAAAGTATTGATGTCAGTCAAGTGATCAAATGACCAAACCCATTCCTTTTTAATTTTTAGATTTTCTGGCTCCTGCAGACTAGCAGCTGATAGTGGGGCCTGCAGCTGAGCCCAAAATAGTATGTTTGTTCAATTTTGTGAATCCTACCTATACAATGATATTTAACTGCAGTGAACTGGGTTACTGCAGTGAACTAAGTCTACTCTATTAACTTCATACACTTCTTTCTCCTACACATGATAAATAACTTTATTTGGCAAGTATACTAATAGTGTTTTGTATCAGCACACAGAAGCATTACAAGCAAGATTTAATTTTCGGAGACTCATTCCCAATATCTGTAACAAAGAGCTTTAATACCCTGGGGAGATAAATAAACCTTTCACATGATAACAAGAACAGCTTGTTAATAAAAAAGTTGCTTTAATCTGATTCGAGTTATTGCTAGAGATGTGTGTGTGTGTTAGACTGTGTGTGAGTTGCATTCGCTATAAGCGTGTCCATTAATCCTCCTGTAGGCCACAGTTGCCAGCCATGTCATGTAATGATTCAAAGTACAAGGGTCACACAAAGGGTTAATGCTTCTTTTCATTGATATGGAATCTACACATCTCTGGAGCTGGGAATGAAATGGGACTGGCAGAAGTAAATAAGAATCTAGAGGAGGGTAAATTACATAACCCAAAGGATATAACGCAGAAAAATATTTTATCTCTAAACCGCCAAACATATGTAATAAGAAGACATAAAGCATGTGGCTATTGGCAAGAATTCATGATTTGTCTCTCCTAGTCTGAACTTACCTTAAGAGTCTCTTAAAACACACCGATCAGTAGACTTAACAATCACTAGCCACCTGGAATATTCAGCATGTATCACGATTTACAATTTTATATCTGCCCCCCAGCAAAATTGTGCTTGGCTAATGGCGCATCACTATACATGAGATGAAGCCCTCATTCACACCGAGCGTTTTGTAGCGCTTTTTCTGTTTAAAAAACTGTTCCACAAAAGGCAAACCCCCCCATTCATTTCAATGGTCTTGTTCACATCTGAGCGTCTTGTCGCCTGTAGCAAAACACCTGTAGCTTGCAGCAAGTACATGAGCTTTTTATTGGCAGATTCTGTGCTTCTTGGCCCAATAGACTTCAATGGAAACGCAATGTGCTGCAAGCCTGGAAAGCGCAATGCAAGCCTGGAAAGTTGCAATAACTGTGATCGCTCAATCAGGCTGCAGAACTCAGGCTTCTGCACATTCAGTTGGGGAAGGATGGCTGGATAGAAATAAGTACAGCTCTACCGCATCTAACCAGAGAGAGGACGGCTGGATGCTGTATGAGGTGATTTAATGCAGTTTGAAGTCCAGCCGTCCTTCCCCATCTCTGCTAACTGAAACTCCGTCCCTCAGAATGGAGCTCTGCCTGGGAGAGAATGTGCAGAAGCCTGAGCTTTGCAGCCCTGATTAAGTGATCACAATTGCAATGCTTTCCAGGCTTGAATGCAAAAATTAAAGAAAAGCATATTTTTATATATTTTATTAAATATGCATTTCTTTAATTTTTGTAAAAGGTGAACTTAGACTTTAAGTGCTTTCTGAAGCTCTGACAGTCCTATGCAATCTGAAATTAAAGGAGAACTATGACATGAGTGATTTCCACTCACCTCATAGTTCTAAGCCGACCTGTGACAATGAGACTGTCACAGGTCGGCTCAGTAGATCGGGAGGTGAGAGAACACATACCGGGTTCCCTCACCTCTCGATCCTGTCACGGCTCTCTGCCGTGACAGGGGGAGGGGCTGGATTCCCCTCTCCCCGCTCCGATCTGCCAGCGCTGACTGGCGGAACGGACGGGGAGGGGGCGGGTACAGCTGGCTCTGCCTCTAGATAGGCAGAGCCAGCTGTCACTCACGCAGCTGGGCGGATCCCGTCATCTAAGTCGGGATCCGCTCCAGGTGCGGCGTCTCAGTATACCGCGAGCTGTAGCTCGCGGTATACTGAGCTTAGGGTAACGGGAGGGCGCTAGTTTGTGTCCTCCCGTTACCCCAAGGAGAACTATGGGGAAAAACACTGACCCCATAGTTCCCCTTTTAAACCACATCTCATCCAACTTCTTGTTGTGTCCACATGCTATCTTCAGAGATCTTAGTTTAAACAGCTTATTCCCTATACTGTGCTCCCCATTGATAAGTTGTAAATTGCAGTTATATCCCCTCTTAGCCCTTTTCTTTAAGGTTAAGGTTAATTTCTGTAGTCTATCTCCACGACTGAGGCCCTTTACCCCCCTTATTAATTCTGGTGCCCTTCTCTAGTTCAAGGACATCTTTCCTGAGGATTGGTGACCAAAGTTGAATTGCATACTTAAGATGTGGCCTAACTGGTGTGTTATAAAGTGAATAATGGACAAGACGACCTGGCTCACAATCAACAAATGAATGAAGATGTTTAGTAGGGTTGAGGTTAAGATTGAGGTTAGTGTGCAGGCCACTCAAATTACTCTCCACAAAACTCATCAAACCATGTCTCATGAAGCTGGCTTTGTGCACAAGGGGACACTCATGCTGGAACAGAAAAGGGCCTTCACCAAACTGTTACCACAAGGATAGAAGTTCACTGGAAACACCTTAACTCAACAATCTGGAGAGGTGTCCACCTACGTTTAGCCATATAGTGTACTTGCCTCATTTCTCACAAACTCTCCACCGTCTCCTCACCCCCCCCCCCCCCCCCATATAGCATAATAAATAATTTCTTCATTCCTTTTTTCTTTTTTCAAACAGAGACATCAGGAAAGAGTCTAGTGACAGTCTAGTAGCCAGAATAAGGGTAGATTGAATTGAGGAAGTGGAGTTGCTTTGCTATGGGGAAATTTCATTGGTACCTGGTGCATGGTTTGCGTTTTTACATTACAACTCCGCTCAGTATTTATTGCCCCAAAACATACATATATTTATATATTTAAGAATATTCTAGGGACACCTAACAATACTAAGAAAGACATATGAATATTATTGCACAAAATGGCTGCCTATACTTTTTTGTACTGTGAGGAGTTAGTTCTCTTGAGGCCATCCAAAAGAAAGCTCTATCTGTCCCCAAAAAATGGTATAAAATTCATTTCAGTACAGCGTTGCATGACGGAATAAATGTCAGTCAAAGTACTGCAGCGCTGAACACTGAAAAATGGCCTGGCCAGAAAGGGGATCTAAACACCTGGTCTTCAAGCAGTTAAAGCATAATGGATGCAGTTTTGCTGACATTGCAATCAGTGGAATTTTAGCGAAGGGTTGCGTGACGGTAAGATATTTTCGCTGTGCAACCTCTTAGATATTGTAACAAACTGCTATTACAGCTCCCTTAGAGAGGAGAGTTTTTAGATGTATTTCTTCTTTTATGACGGCGGGCAGAAAGGAGGGAGTATTGTTAGAAACACGTATCTTTACCACAGCATAATGAAACATTGAGGAGCTTGGCTGCATTTCAATGTTATTTGTGATATGTTTATGTAGGCTCCAGCAAAAGGTATAATTCCGCCTTGGCAAACACCATCAGAAATAACAAGATTACTGATAGCGCATAGTGAAATGCAGGCATCAGGCTTGCCAAGATTAATCCATACTATCACTATCATGCTAAATCTGTTTCTCTGCTAAACAGCTTTGAAGATAAACCTTAAGTAGCTTCTTTATCGCAGCAATGAAATATGAATTAACTGCGTATTTATAGGAAGGGCCAGGAAATACTACGCTCAATCCGAAGAAAGTTTGTGTGGTTTGGACAGCTGTCACTTTAAAATGCAGAATGAACAAGTAAGCCCACCAGATTCAATGGATAATGGAAGGATTAAAGCTGAACCTATGACAAATATAAAATAACCATATAATCTAGTTATGTATTAATGAAATAAGTATTAAACGTGTATGTAAATGTAACTCATGTAAGTTATTATTAGTCTCCCGGTATCTGTGTAGCACTGGAAGATTGAAGGTCAATACTGAGCCAATCAGGGTCTGCAGCATGTGCATGTGCATGTGCTGACAAGAAACATGCTTAGACATGGAAAGAGAAAAAAAATGACCTTATCAGTCTGCTGCTGCTCCCTCATTGCCTAGTAACAGTCACAGGGTAGGGAGGTGAACAAGCTGTATTGCTAACAGCAGAATAGAAAAGTGAGGTCACCAAACTGGCTATTCTGTTTCACAGGGCTGTATAAATATTAGAAATTAATTGACAAAAAAGCTAAAGTAAAAGAGCTCCAAACATGAATTTCAATTGTGTATTTCTTTCTTTTTTTTTTCCTGAACTTAATCTTTAAAGCTGAACTTAAAGCAAAACGTTCACTTAAATATATTCCTCAATAGCCACAAAGCATATGAATCCACTTTGTGTGCATCCAACGCCTTTACAAATACAGAAAGAACCATATAAAAGTAGCAGGAGACATCTCACTGCTCTGCACTTAACTTGTGCATAGAGCAGAACTGTGGAAGGGACCCAGCAGGCTCCACCCACTACAGAGTGCCTTCAATAAACTACAGGAGGGGCGGATACAAGACCAGTCACCATGCACGAGGAGTGAGAGCAACGGTGACCGGTCTTTATTACAGAGGCAACGTTTCACAGTGGATTACTGCATAGATGTGGAAGAAATACACAAAGCACACCAAGATTCAAGTAAGCTTAACCGAGACTTCAGCTTTAATCACTTGTAAGGGTCTTAGAATATTCTAGAACCATGGTAGTGCAGTATCAACATTATTTACAATAGAGTTGGAAAAAACAAAGTTTACCGTGTTCATCCAGAAGATTACACTCTGCTCACCATGCCTGCTTTCACATTATTCAGATTTATACATTATTCAGATTATTTTACAATATTTAATGTTAATGGAACGATGCTTAAAAATAGACTGTAAGGCTGGGTTCCCACCTGGGCGGATTGAATATGCGCGTTTTCCGCGCGGTAAAAAACCAGCGCGGCAAACGCGCGTTTCCGAGGGATACTTGGCTGTATCCCAATGGCTGTATCCCAATGGAACCGCCCGACCAAAACGCCCCAAAGAAGTACATGTACTTCTTTGGGCGTAGGCCGGTTTCCCGCGCGTTCGTACTCGCGGAAAACCGCACAGATGGGAACCATACACACTGAAAATAATGGCATTTCCCTGCTTGAGCGGTTTTCCACGAGTACGAAAGCGCGGAAAACCGCCTAGGTGGGAACCCAGCCTTATGTGGTCAGACGCCTGCACTGTTTACTGTCCCTTGTTTCTTTTATTCTCTGTTATCTCCCAGTGCAGGCTAGACTGAGATTGGTAGTTATATGACATCTAAAATGGTTCTTACTTGGGACAAATTGGTAAACAAGGTCCTTTCTACACTATACTATGTAATGCATTAGGCTGGAAAACGTTTGGAACGAAATCTGTGTAAGAGTGTGTGTGTCCATGGGCAAATTAGATAATTTAGAACTAATTGCAGCTGACCTTCTGCGGACTTGCATTAGACCCCCTTCTAAGCTGCATCCACCTGCTTAAACCTGCTTTTACAATCTCATTGACTTGCTTAGGGATAGAAGCAGTTTTAACAGAAAAAAAAGTCCATTGACACACACTTAGGCCTCATTCACACTGCTAAGAGTCGGCCCATACAGATCCGCGCGGCGTGCATGGCCGTATCGGGCTGCTCCCGGGAAGGACAGGTGCTGCGTGTGATTGTACATAGCAGCCTGCAGGACTGCAGAAACTAATCCCTTCTCCTTTTCTCCATAACATAGGTGGAAGCTATTTTGCAGTGCACAGAAACAGCTGGGAATAATGTAAATGATAAAAACACCGGCAGAGACCATAGAAGTTATCAGCTGATTTCTGGCAGAATCAATGGGTATTTTTTACACTTGTACAGACAGAACAAAATACTCAATACAAAATGGTATATTTAACAAATTAAATGGACCAAACAAGAGTTCATTGTTAGGGTTTACATATACTTTGAATCTGTTACAAATATAGGTTCATAAAGCACATGCAATATTTTAAGTAAAGCTGAAGAATAAATATTGTTCCGCTCACCTCAGTCTTCTTGGTGACACATTCCCCCTTGCCATAGCAATGTGGAGTTTCTGGGCTACTGCCTTCTGGTGCACAATCCGTGGCTTTAACCAGCACAACGAGACGTAAGGCCACAATGCATTTGCTCACAGAATCATTCACAAAACCTAAAATGAAACCACGATCGTCAGCATGTTATCAGTTATCTGGGCAAAATAATTCTTCACTATTACATTTACAAATATATACAGATGTGAGCAAATGTATGTTGGGGTATATGCATGAATCATTTCCAAAATATTAATATAATAATATTCATAATACAATAATAATAATAACAATAACAACAATCACATTTTTAACAATTAATGAGCAACTCCAAGCATGTGAAAGTATTCAGTGAGCTACTGAAGCTATCAAGTAAACACTGCGGCTTAGCTAAAATCAGAATTGATACTCAGTTAACCTCAATCTGGAATCCCCTGCAACAATAGAAGATTCTGCTCTATATAATCTTAGTAAGATTGTGTAACTTCCTCTCTTCACGCTTTCCACATCACCAGTCACACACAGCTTTCGTTTAAATATACCTTTTTGCTGTAATGAAGCTTTTTGCATTTTTTACATCAGGCTTTAAGCATGTGGGAGACAGCAAGAAATTCCCACTCCATGTTCCAGGAACACAAGCAAGAGTGTTATAGGATTTTTATATAACTGACCAAAGGAAGTTGAGTGATAGGCTATGTTCCCTATACACATTGTAAGGTTTAATTTTTGTGTATTGTACTTATGTACAATCAAGGTCAAGGATAGAAAAAGTACACAAGAGGGTTCAAGAAGTCAGGTATTCCAAGCTATATGTCTGGTGTTAAACTCAATTCAGGTGACAGCTTTACTTTCCATGCCATATGAAAAAAAGTCACACCAAAAATAACACCATCACACTCTGCAAGAGAAGGCTATCAATACTTACCTATCCCACCTTCCCCTAGCTCTCTTAAGAGCTATGCTGTCTGAAACATCTGCATTAGACATACCTACGGGTGTGATCTCCTACTGCGTTCTATGGTTCAATTCACCAGACTCTACATCAATGCAGTGTCCTGTAGTGACGTAGATGGGTAGAAGTGTGTTGGATGCTGAAGATGTGTCAGATGCAGGAAATTCTTATACAGCTTAGGTCTTCAAGAGAGCGCAGATTCAAGGCACGGGTAATGGCAAAGGTAAGTATTAGTTGGGATGGTTGCAGTCTTAAATCCAGCTGCTCTAGCTGTTGACCCTCTAAAGGGTGTCGCTGAGCCAACCCCCCACCAAATGAAAAGAGGTGAGGGGCATTGTGTAGTAGTGTTGAAGTTATTTATTATACATCAATGGAGACTCCCTTAATGCCAATTTTTCATACTATATCAATATATCCAGATGACCATGTTTTCCAGTCCAGCAACAAATGTATCATTCCACAGAATAATATTATAAATTGTCAGACACCATACATGATATAATTCCTATGTATGTCTTTCTTAGAAAGGGTAATGTGTCCCATCTTTCTGCCCCCCCTGTAGTATAAGTGTTTGGTATTTACTTTGATCATTAGTTTCTTATACATTTTGTGTAAACACTTGTTATAAAAGTAATCTTATCATAGCAGGGAGTATGAAAATGTTATGAAACCTAACTCTGTATAGTACAAAACCAGTCTTGCAGATGTGTATTGTGGAGTCACATACCAGAGAGGGACTTTAAGACATGTTATTTAGTCAAGGCTGAATTGACAGAATTTCCAGGCTCTGCAAATAACTGTTTATGACCCTGCTAGGAGTGTAGGTTTTATAAACCCTTTCTCTAGCTTGAGCTGTTTTCATTGAATTTAAGATGCTCAGCTTGTGTTAGTTGTGTCTTAGGCGGAGCTATGTTCTGGTGAGGGGTTATATGAGATTTGTCTTACTGACTCTGTCTGCCCCACCCAGACATAAGATTTAAAGAAGAACTCCTGGCAAATTACAAATTAACCCTTGCAGTAGGGCTACCCACCTATTTTAGACCCAAGTGCTTGTTTTGGTCTAGGGTCTAAAATAGAAAAAAAGATATATATGCTCACCTGATCCTCAATCCTGCGGTGGTGACCACCCACCTCTCTCCCCTCAAGGATTGAGGATCTGGTAAGTATATTTTTGTATGTAATTTGCCCAGAGTTCGTCTTTAAATCAGATAATTTTGTCGCTGACTTGTGTATTTTGGAGAAATGAGGGTGGCACTCCGTTCAGCATAGCTTCCTCGCTTTCCCACCAAGCCTAGTGTTGTCAGCCCACTTTATTGTCACATTGGTAGTCTTCTTTTGCAGGCAGGTCTTTTTACATTTTTTTATCAGAGTCACTAACAAAGAGCAATATGACACGATAAGGTTTTTTAGAGGCCCTCACAAGAACAGGTTAGTTAACCTGTATAGTATTACAAAATAATTTATAGTGTGAGCGTGCATCAATCCATGATCAAGCAGTAGGTTAACAAATGAAATAAATTTGATCGAAATCCTGCAATCCATGGGAAAGGACACTCTATTAAGATCAATGCAAAGATAGTGACAGTGGAGGCACATTTCATACTTGATAACTCCCTTGTTTATAAGTCTACTATAAGAAAAATTATTGGGTTCATAGGTGTTTAGCAAAAAAGGAAAACACTGATTTCTAAGAAAAATCCTTGCTGCTTGTTTAGGTTTGCAGGAGGCCACCTGGGTGGTCTACAATGTTTTGTGGGCAGACAAGGCCAAAGTGTAACTTGATAAATGGAAATGTAATAGTGAGGGCTGCTTTAGGGCTTGGATGACGTGATAATGTCCAAAAAAAGAAAATAAATCAACAACAGATTGCATGAAACAATAATGCACTTTAGAAGGCCCTAATCAGACAGCTGACCTCAACCCCAACTACACAGATCTTTGTAGGGTACCCACTCCTAAGAATAGCATTAATATTGCTGAATTACTTCCACTTATAAACTGCTGTCCATGTACTTGAGGAGTTCCAAGTCTTTAGAACATTTTTTCTAACCCCTTCCAGACTTGTAGGCATGGCAGAGCCAGAGTGTATTGGAATATCTTGGTGAACTGGAAAGAGGGACTACACTCTTTGTAAGATGTCACTGTCCCAGAGGTTCACATATTTTTTTCCATCAATGACCTTCATTGTTTAAAACATTCATAAAATTAAAAAAATAAAATAAATTACATTACATTTTAGAAGTAATTTATCCAGACAAAGGGTTCTCAAACATTTCCTGACAGCTGTTTGTTTATCCAGTTGTTTGTGAGCTCTAATTGAAATACATATTGTATGTGATGTCTCTAAACAATGAAAACTGCTCGTCATGTTCAACAAAAAACTGCTTAGATGTGTAACTGTTAAATTTTATCCCAGAGCCATTCTCCATTCTTCGTGCATTACGACGCACATTTATCAATGCATAAAGAATGTTCACCGTTTCAAGCTGTGTTGCTATGATGCAAATGGCCATGAGCATGAACCCTAACTGGTTTCTATGGCAATATCTTTATTCTTCCAGTCTTTACACATAGGTAAAACACAAATACCTCCTCCATACTGATTGTATGAGAAACATAGCTAGGAAAAGATATAAAACAGAGACAGGCATAATGGCACACGAAAATGTCATACTTACCAATGAAATGATTGCTTCCAAGATTTAACATTTCTTCTGGAAAGACAAGACCTCCTGGAGCCTGCATTAGAGTGACACTCCGACCGTCTATAAGCGAACACTGGTTGAAGCCTACAGCTGTCACTTTCCATAGCAGAATAAGCAAAGCAGTGGCATCCTGGGAGATTCTAAAGATCCAAGAACACAGGAAGGTATCAACCTGCCACATCTAAATTATCAGATGAAGAGTTAGCAAGGATGCTGACAACCTGGATGAATTCCACTCCAGGCATACAACATATAAGACAGTGACCTATTTTAATCACAATACATCTTTTTTCTTATTATTTTCAAATATGGTCAAAAATGTAAATGCACATTCAAATACAAAAATGTTTCTAGAGACTTTCCGGGGGGATTTGTGCTTCTGCACAAGAAAGGGAAACATAGAAGCAGCAAGGGGAAATAGTAGTACCAATGTTAAAGCATATCTAAACCCAAAAACAAAATAAAGCATACCCCGCCTTAGAAGAGATAGCTGAATTCATTTTGATTTTTCAGGCTTTCTATGTTTTTTTAAATCTATTTTTATTGGTTTTAAGATGCATATATATCAAGACAACAACAATAAAACTCAATGCATCCTACATCCCAGTCTCTCATGTGTCATTATTCAATTGCTAAAAGTACCACATACATAGCAGCACCTATTGATCAAAATGCATCATTAATTTGTGTCTATCTTGGATCCTGAGGGGCAAGGCATAAGAGTAGATTCAACCCAGGATCCCCATATTTTGTCAAGCACTTGTGGTTTTCCCCTTAGCTCATATGTGATTTTATATAAAGGTACATTGGAGGTAATCATGTTTTTCCATGCGCTTAGAGAGAGGGAAGACAATTCCTTTCATATCATTATAATTAGGTTTTGTGTAAAAATAGACTGTGCAAAGAAGGGTTTTATCACGTTTGGGTAATTGAAGATCGCTATCTAATCTATTTGTAGATCTATAATACCTAGGAGACAGTTTTTGAGATTACACATATTGGGAAATGCCAGAGAAATTAAGTCAGTGATCTCTGATGAGAAGTTTTGTATATAACAGCAGGTCCAAAAACAGTGGAAAAGTCAGCTTCCTTCCCACAGTCACGAAAGCATAAGGGGAAGGGGCTTAGTCTAGTTTCTTAAGTTTGGCCGTGGTTGAACGTTTGTAGTTGGATCACTCTGTCTCTAGAGGATATTACAGAGCCCTTATATGTATTCTCAAACTCTGTCCAGTCTTGGTCAGTAGGTTGCATTAATGGGGTATTAATCAGTCAGTCCTCACTTAGATTGCCAGAACCCGTTAATTAAGCACAGGCATGGCAAAAACCCTGTTCCTTCTTCTCCATAGAAAAGGTAATAAAATGTTTTTGCCGATCACCCCCAAATCTTGGGAGAACAACCATGTCTCCAGCCCAGTAGGCCTTATCTCCTTTCATTTTGCTATAGTAAAATATCATTTCTAAATGGTTGTTTTGGATTACTATCCTTTGCACATTATCGTTGCCTTTTAAACTGTTTTTTGAATAATCTATGTGAGTTTACTAGATGCTGACAATCTAAAAGACTATGGCCAGCTTCAGAATTCAGAAACTAACATGCCGGGTAAGCATATTTGCTCACACAGATCAAACCAGTCCTTGTTTCCCATAGCATGCATGACTCCGCTGGAAATTTAGGCCATCAGTCTTTTCCTATGCTTTAATACTGCCTTAGACCAGTGGCGTAACAACCGGGGGTGCAGCAGGGGCGCGGGCCCCGGGCGAAAAGTGAAGGGGGGGCGCCGGCCGAAAATGGCACTTTCGGCTAAATGCCGAAAGTGACATTTTCCTGCCGTTTTGTCGGCG